CAATCTTGTGCATCTCCGGGCATTGTACACTCCAGGTTGGAAGAACATCCAAGTGGACTTCCTCTCAAGAAACTTTTCTGAGGAACAAGTGGGAACTGAACGGCCACCCAAGGAAAGTGGGACACAACAAGTGGACCTGTTCGCATCTCCGGCATTGGGTGGCATTGTACTCTCCCGCGCTTGAGTTTTTGCAGGAAGGCCTAGAACCTGGACCTGGTCTGAAGACGCTTTAAGTCCCGGTGTTGGCCCTTTCAGCTCTAATGGGGGATGGGCATCTAATTGGCTGGTGGAGAAGTTCCTCAGAGCCGTCCCGAGGTTGTGGCCTCCAAGAAAGAATTTGTATCTCCAGTGGGAGTTATCCTTCGTTCTAGACTGCCCCTCCGCACCCCCGTTCACTCCGACCGATGGGCATTGAAGACCGCGTTCCTCATCACTATCACTGGGGTTGGGGGTGCTAGCAGTGATCCCGTTCAGGCCCAGCAGGCGCCGTGGTTTTCGTGTTACTCTCCCTTGTAGCAGAGGAGGAACAGCTGAGACCTCTTTCCTTGTCCCAAGTTCAGCACCCACATCGGGAGACATCAGATTTCAGCGCATGGGAAGATGAGAGGTTTGAGGTTCCGATCTCTGCCGTCCCTCGAGGAAGAAGAACACCAACGTCACTTCTTATAACGTGTGGAGAATTTGCAGATTCACGTGCCTTTGATCCCCTCAGTCCGGGAAGTTTGCGTGCCTTTGATCCCCTCAGTCCGGGAAGTTCACGTGCCTTTGATCCCCTCAGTCCGGGAAGTTTGCGTGCCTTTGATCCCCTCAGTCCGGGAAGTTCACGTGCCTTTGATCCCCTCAGTCCGGGAAGTTCGCGTGCCTTTGATCCCCTCAGTCCGGGAAGTTCACGTGCCTTTGATCCCCTCAGTCCGGGAAGTTCACGTGCCTTTGATCCCCTCAGTCCGGGAAGTTCACGCTTGGGAGTTTTTTGCAAGAAGGCCTAGAAATGGAACCTTGTCCCGGTGTCGGCCCTTTCAGCTCTAACGGGGGATGGTCATCTAGTTGGCTGGTGGAGAAGTTCCTCAGAGCCGTCCCGAGGTTGTGGCCTCCAGGAAAGGATTTGTATCTCCAGTGGGAGTTATCCTTCGTACTAGACTGCCCCTCCGTTCACTCCGACCGATGGGCATTGAAGACCGCGTTCCTCATCACTATCACATCAGCCTCAGAGATTCAGGCCTGGGCATTGCTGAGCCGTATTTATGCTTCTTCCTGGATACGGGGTCGTGCGCGCATCATGCTGTGCGCATGCGCGTGATCTTGGCTCTCACTGATTCATGACTCAACCCTAACTCTCTCTAACATTGATTTCAACATCTAATTCTCCAGGAAATAGCCGCTGCGATAGACTCACCACAAAGCTGTCGTAAGCAAACAAACAATCTTGTGACGTCCATTGCTTCATTGTGACTGAATTTGCATTCCAGTGGGGGTGGGGGCAGGGGGGGGAGACACACCTAGGCACACCTAGCTCCTCCCCCTCCTATCACCACTTACCGTGTACTACCTGTTCTAAAAACGTCCCACTCCCGTCGGTCACCCTGTATAACGATGGAAACTTTTTATCTGATCAATACCTGCAGATATCCAGTGAGCTCAGGACTTCCTGTAGTGAGCTCGGGACTTCCTGTAGTGAGCTCGGGCCCTTCCTGCCGCGAGCCGGGGCCCTCCCTGCCGCGAGCCGGGGACCTTC